ACCGGCAAGGGGCAGGGCGAGCAGAGAACCCCCCCCCCCCCCCCCCTCCCCCTCCCCTCCCCTCGCGTTTTTCAATGGTTGTCTGGGCGTGTGGGTTTCGAACATACTCCGGCCGGAGCAAAGGCGTAGAACGTAATCCGCCCTCCTTGTCACACCCCTTCGTCCTGTTTTTTTTTTGTGTCGGAACCCCCGGCTGCAAAACGCCTCCAACCGGAACAGATCGAACAACGTGGCCAGCGCGTCCTTCACCCCGGCGCAAGCAGCCCGTAAACACCTGTTTCCGGCGGGAGTTCACGAGAGGTGAGTTGGCGTTCGCGTGTCTCTCTGCGGCCGGGGGTGGGCTGGCGCCACTGCAAAGGAGGATATAAAATAAGTCCTGTGGGTGACTTTCCTGCGTCATTCCTCCCTATTCTTACCAGATGAACAAACGCCATCACCGACTGGTGGTACACCACCTGGTAGTACCCCCCTTTCCCCTCAAAACGCACGTCACGTCGCCCCCCCCCCTCACCACAGCCCTCGGCGATCACACACATCTACCCCGTGGCTGTCGAACGCGACCAACCATGTACAACAACACCACAGGAGCAGCAAGTAATTCAATCCGAAATGCCTCTTTCTGTCCTGGCTGGTGCCGTCCTAGTTCTAGAAGCCCAAATGGGGACTCTTTGGGGACACAGCACTCAAACGCCTATTTACCGCACTGTTGTCACCCTAGGGTCCGCTGTGTGCAACGCACGCGAGAATCCTTGGTCTATCATGCTTGGCTGAGGTGATACGCTGTGTGATATGCTGTGTGATGTCTCTCCTTGTCCTCTGACTTGCTGTACACATCTCCCAACCCGCGTGCCCCCTAGGTCGGTAAAAATGTGTGCAACACCTGGTGCTGGAAAAATTTGCTGACTTGGCTTCAGTATGAAAAAGTGTCCCCACGTGTTTTGGGGACGCTTTTCATACTGAAGCAAAGTAACCCTTTGTCTGGCAAGGAGCTCAGATTCTTTGGAGGGACTGTAGCCCCTCGACCAATGGCTGACAAACAAGTTTTCGACATTTTTTTTTTCCGGAGGGACTGGGAACTAGGAGGGTTAAGAACCTGGGAGTTGAGAGAAGTTCAGGCTACACAAGGCTATGTACCATTTGACGCCTGACCATCAGAACAGGTGTTCAATTTACAATCCCTTGCGCTAAGTGCTGTGTGCAGTCGATGTTGCGATACCCCTCCCAGAGAACCAAGCCTCCGGTCAAAATAGGAGGCTCTTTCTGTGATGAGCTTCATTTCTGCTACCCCTGTGCCCCTTCAGGGACATGCTCCTGTCGGTCACCGGCCCGGCATCGGACGCCATCCGAGCCGTCTTCCTCCGCACGCAGGACGACCTCCTGGTGCTCGGCTGCCTCCGGGGGTTTCGATCCCACGCGAGGGCGTGCGTCTACCTGGGACTCCTCGCCCCGTTCGACGCCGCCCTCGTCTTCTTCTTCCGGAGGGGGCTGGAGTACGCCTCTTCGGCGGCAGCCGGCGCCGCCGGCCTGCCGTTGCCTGGTGAGAATCGTGGGGGGCGGTACGGATGGTGGGTGGGTGTTGCGAAGCTGTCGGGACAGCTGGGGGGGTGGGTGTCTGTGCCGCAAATTTGGTCTATATGGCTGGGCAGCTTGTCTGGCGGCATGCTCCCCTAACATGGTGGGTTGAGTAGTGGTACTGCGAACGTAAGAACGTCGACGGGGCGTGGAGATATGAAACACATTTTTAAGTCGTTCAGCTTCACCCCGGAGCGTATGATGCACGTTGATTGTCACCACGGTGACCTCAGCTTGTGAGAGTACCGCCGATTCGAAACACGGTACAGCAGAACGCCTTCCAGTTTTCAGGTGTTTGGCTTCAGAGACAGCTGGTCCACTTGCGGCGGGGCTGCCGCGCTTCGCGCCGCTTCGCGCCGCCCTGAGCTTGCAACAACAATAGGGCGTAGAACGCTATCCAGACCTTATCCCCTTCACCTCCGTTTCGACGCTCTCGTGCCTGCAGAGGTGTTGAAGAATCCTGGTTTGCCTGACGTGACGGACATGGCCGCGTGCGCCCCCTTTGCCTCCGGCTGCGTGCTGCACCGCGACCTGTTGGCCCTCAAGTGTGGGTAAGTTTTCTTCGAAGGTTTACTCGGTCTATTAGGCGGACATACATGTTTTCGGCTGTGCTGCAGTACGGCGCTAGGCGGTATTGCGATTTTTGGCGATAGCGACTTTGCGGGAGGAGATAAAAACTTGTATACGGCGTTTATTTTTCGGAGTGGACCCTTGCTGTGGTTGGCAGGCGAGGGGCTACATACCGTAGGTTGCATAGGCTAACACACCCCCTGGACCGATACTCGAAAACCGTTTACTCTGCAGCACAAACAGCAAAGGTGTCGAAAAATGACAGCGTTGGAACCGTCTCATCGAGAGCTTTCCGAAAAAAATGTCGTTTTGTTTTTTGGCATCCTCTTCGTCGTGCAGTAATCGAGAGTTGAAAATCGGGGGTCGAGGGTGTACGGCATCTTAGGTATGTAACCGACAGAATGGTAGTCGTGTTGCCGAGCACAGCAGGGTAGGGAAGGGGGAAGACCGACGATATAGAGGTGGACTTTTGATCAGACGATCATTTCTTGGAGAGGCACGACGCGTCTCGTCGCGTCAAGCCCTGCAGCACGCAAAACTTGATGATCGTCACCGCCGGGGCCATCTGCCGTGGACTGCTGCTGCCCACTCGGAGCAGTGGCCCTTCCTTCCACAACGCGGCTCATAGTCTACTGTCGTTGGACCTCTGTGGGTCGGAGGATTTTGGGCGGGTGGTCGATAAAGGGCGAGTGACATAATATAATCTTGGCACATATAAGAATAATCACACCGCTTTATGAGTTGAACAAGGGTGGGGTGCCCGCTTTACAGGACAAGTGAATCGGCCTGCCACTCCTGGAAATCCCACTCCTGCTGCATACAACGCAGACGTCAACCTGTCAGCATGCATTCCTTGCACCCAATCCCTTGCGACCACCGTGAGATCGTTTTGCTGATGCTCCCGTACCTCCTGCTGCATACAACGCAGACGTCAACCTGTCAGCATGCATTCCTTTCACCCAATCCCTTGCGGCCACCGTGGCATGGTTTTGCTGATACTCCCGTACCTTCCACAACTGCGAGTACACAAACTTTGGAAACTCACCCCTCCTGCTCACCTTGTCGCACCCCACAACTCCTCTAATGACTCACACATGTCAGGCTGGAGCTCGCCCGCGCGTACGCGCACTGTGTCTCCACGGCGTGGGGGCCGATGCTGGAGTGCGTCTTCGCCCTGGCGGACCTCCAGGCTCTCCCGGCTAGCCTGACGGACGTTGACGACTTCGGCGACGCCCAGGGCAATCCGCTGCCGCCTTCCGTGTTCGCCAAGCGCTGCCGCGATCGCGCCAGGTGGGATGGGATGGGTGGGACCGCCTTCGCGGGAAATTCTGTACTATCTGGAAAAATAGCAGGGAGGGGGTACGCAGACCTTATTCCCTACAACCCTAACCCTAACCCAACTTCCCCCATGTATGTATGCTTTGTCCAACATGTTTACATAATACTACGAAAAAACCCGCGAAGGGTACTGGATGGATGTGCAGGGTGGGGTGGGGGCAACCAACCCATAGCAGTAATGCGGCCAAAATTTTATTCTGCGGAAAAGTTGGCTCCGTTTTTGGGTGTTTCGTGGCCGCATGACAATTGTCCTTGTAGGCCAGGCAGGGAGAAGCGGTACAAATACAACTACACGACCCTTTCGCGTATTCATCGTGTGCACGCGGGAGGTCTCCAATCTCTGGAAGGACGTTTCGCAGACCTGTTTTCCGACAGTTAAACTACATAGGTACAATAGTAGTTTTTCGTCTCAGTACCTTATTCTATTGAACTCGGTCACTGCAGTGGCCGCCTCCCTGCTTGCCAGCTTGCTTTTTTTTTTTTTTGCCTTCCCTCCGTCATGATCTGGACGCGACAGACATCTTGTTAGTTGATTAGTCACCGTCGGTAGCTCAACCGCACGGTCGTCCTCATCTTAGCTTTCGACCGCCTTTGAAAAGTGCTCCGAAAACAAAGCAAGTGTAGTACTGTATGTACTTCACACGCGATATCTGCCCGCGGCCGCCACACGGCTGTGCTGGTTCGATGTTCCGCACTCAACACAACGCCCGACAGGTCTGGCCACAACGTTTTGCTGTCACAATCTGGTAGAGTGAGAGCTGCGGCAGCGGCGTCTTCTGGAAGGGGGGGAGGCGGGGGCGGGGGCGGCAGCGGTGGCGGTGGCGGCGGCGGGCTTTGGGGATCTTTGTCGGGGGTGCTGTTCTCACGAGGCGGGGAAGGCGACGGGGGGGGGGGTAGGAGAGGGGGCACCGCGGCCGAAGCGGCGATTGGAGCGATAGCTGAGGTGAAGAAGCGATAGTAGTATTGGCCGTAGCGAGCACGACCTTGGGGGTTACATCCCATCCAAGGTCTGTTGAAGGAACAATAAATAGTCTGCGAGATGGAAATGAACAGGCTGTCTGAGGTATATGTAGGTACCCGGCGTGAGCCCGTTCTGTTCTTGTGAAGCATTTTAGGCGTGCAATATTGTCCTGTTATTGGCGAGGGTGACTTTGATGCGAGGCGTTCGCCTAGGCCGTTGTCGACGTCGTTGTCGACGTCGAAGACTCTCCATCCCTCGCGATGTGGAGGTCAATGTATGTTGCCGTATGTTGCATACGATACCATACCCCCTGGACCAATGTTTAAGTATCGATACATGTATCTTCACGATGAAGAGGATACAAAAAGGCACCACATGTGATGCGTGCGTTTTCCGAAATCTCTCTACGATACTACTTCAAGGCTGCAAGTCCTGCACCGTCGCGGTAGACTGCTTTTTTATGTATGTTTCTAAGAACGATGGAGCTACCGTCGCGGTTTGGCGGCAGGATGTAACGAATGCAATTTTGATGTATATTGTCAAAGAATGAAATGAGAATTGCTCGAAGGGTGTGTGTGTGGTATCTTAGACTACCTCCTCACGCATGGACCTGCTTTCAGCACTTGGTGAATCCTGACGTTTGTCCCTGCAACCCCACAAGCTTCCGAAACAAAAACGCAACACCAACAACGTCGACGACTGAACGAACAGGTGGTCCGCACGGTGCAACTCGAGCAGCTGTTCCCCCAGACCAAAGACCTCCCGCTGGAGGTGGTCGAAGGCCTTCTGGGCGCCCTGCTCACCATCCGAGACCCCGCAACGCCCCGCCGCCCTCCGTCCAACGGTACCCCGACAAGAGATGGAAGCGGAACTAGCGGCGGCGGCACCGCCAGCAGCGCCAGCAGCAGCAGCAGCAGCAGCACGCCCGCGAGCATGGTGCGCACCATCAGTAGCAGCTCAGGAGCGGGCGGGGGCGGGGGCGGGGGCGGGGGCGGGGGTGGGAGCGGGGCAGGGGCGGGCGAGGCGGAGAGCATGGCGGTGGTGGCGGCGGCGGCGGCGGCGAGCTTCGAGGCCCACGCCGTGCTCGCGCTGGAGCTGTCGTCAAGGGTCGTCCTAGCCAACAGGCAGCGAGTCCCGAGCCTTTGGCCCGCTCTTCACTCTTTCTTGGCCAGGTGGGAGTGGTGGGAGTGGTGGGAGTAGAACGCAGGGAAGCGGCGATTGGACGTATTTTTCGGCGTTGTTTTTACGGGCGGGAGTGAGTAGCGGAAGGGGAGTGGAAGGATGCTGGAGAAGCTAGAGCAACCCACGCTACAATCCTTGCCGTCCTGTTGACCTGCGGTGGCTCTCGGTTCCTTCGTACATTACGGAACGGGTCCCGCAAGTAGAGAGTATTCGGCGAAGAACTGCTAAGCATTGGCTTCTCAAAATATATTCATGAACTCTTTTGAAGGCCACGAAACACGACGTATGTTACCACCTTTTGTCGACGGTGGTTCCGAGACAATAAGTTGAGCCCCGTTATTTTCCGGCCCATTCTGTCGGGACTTTGGCCCCCCAAAAGCTAACTAGCTTTGGCCTCCATCCTGGAGTCAGCCGTGTTTCCACGACATACTTCCGTCTTCAGCACGTCCTCCGGTCTTGGTTTTAGTCGATCCTTGCTTGTGTCTCACGGCTAAGCACGCTCGTTGTATCTACCGCTCTTGTTGCTACTCTGGTGGTGGTGGTGGTGGTGGTGGTTGTGGTTGGTGCAGGGTGCTGGGCGGGGAGGACTCGGTGACGATGACCCGCATGCCGTACCTGGTGGAGAGGGCCATGGTCACCGTGCTGCGGGCTTGCATCCACATGTTCGACAGGGAGGATATGGGGGTGAGAAAACTTCTCGTGCACCTACCTGGCCTTTCCCCTAGTTCCTAATCGGGTCATCTAGGTCTTACGGTAGTCTTGGGGGTCATCTCTGAAGCGTGGGGGCGTTGACACGTATAGCTCTCTCGTTGATGCAACTGCACTACTGTTAGCGGTTCTTATTCGGCGCCAAGTTTTTTGCTCTAGGGCGAGGCCGCCCTTCGGTCTTGTCTGGTGGTACACGGGCACGATGGATGTACCAACGTTGCTGCATCATGCGCACTTTAACTGGGCCGGTTTCAAGCGCGATTCATTTGTGTTTAGTTTAGCTTTGTCTCTTCAACTTTTGCGCTCGAGGAGCATGGAGAATCGTACCTCCTTCAGCCTTACAAGCGCCTTCGTTTACGGCCATGTTTTAAATATGACGCGGTTGTTTCTGTTTTTTGTCGTCCAAGCCTCGCCGTGTCGTTCGGATGTGTGTGTGTACCTTTTAGATTGTAGCATCGACCGATCTGACTGGTCCACCAATGAAAATAATTCAATCTCATATCGAAACACGCTTTCTGAAAAGTGCGTGTGAGTATGTGTGGTTCTTTGGTAAGGCATCAGCCACTGGTACTTCCTTGTGAAGAGGCGTCCACACCAACGGGATGTGTGTACCTTCGCACACCGTCTGGTCCCTCTGTTTGTATATGCAGCGCTCCTTAACACCGCTGTTCCGCCTCCTCAACCTCTCGCGGCCGTCCCTCTATCCTTCTCTCCTGGACTTCTTGCCTTTGCTTAGGCGATGCTCTTGCAGTCGCTGAAGCTGCTTCTCTCTCTCCCGCCGGACGTGGTCCTGCCGCTGTCCAACCGACTAGCCTCTGGGCTGCTCATCCTCATCCAGGCGAGAATGAGGGTTTCAGACTGTGTCACATAGCGGAGGAATAAGTGTCCTAGGACGTAACGGTGAGAATGAGGTTGTAGACTGTGTGATGTAGCGTAAGAGTAACTCTTGAGGACCTCCAGCACGTTGTAGCGAGTTCTTCACGGGTGTCCCGGCAAGACAGGGGCAAAAACACATGACTCCTGCACACCTGCTAGCCCCTTTGCCCGACTGCGAACCAAAGAAAACTACACAGTAGGTGGCAACGATGGACACGTACCTCGCTAACCCAGGCAGGCGCTCTTGATCGTCGGTACTTTATCGCCGGCTACGCCATGGCCATGTTGCAGATGGCCCGCAGAGCTATACCACCGCGTGCTATTTAGCGTCAATTATGCCACGTGCCATGTGGCCGCTCAGTGGCTGGGGTTCACTCCTCGTCCGGGTATGACTTGAATCGGTTCTCACCTCTACCCCCCGTTCCCTCTGTTTCTATTTTCGGCGCAGGCTAACGCGTCCGCTTTGAGCCTGCCATCCACCGCGGTGCAGTGGGAGGTGATCTCCGCCTTGATGGGCAAAGCCGTCCTCGGGGGCGGGGGGAGGGGTTTCATCCTGGAGGCGTTGGCGTTCGTGGTCAACAGGGGACTGGGGCTCCTCGGGCGGTAAGCGCGCCTCATGTTGCATGTTGTGTAGTACCACCTGATACCACGTCTTTTTCTTTCTTGTCGATGATAAGACAGTCAGGATTGGTCAAGGCCGGTTGCTGAATGGAGAACGCAAGCGCGGTGGACATGTTTGCCCACGCAAATAGCCCACCTTTCGTGATTATTGTGTGCTGTATTTTTACACCCGGAATCCACTTTTGTGCAGAATCGCCTTTATGAATTATGTGCTGCTTTTTTTTGTCCACCTGCAATCCACTTTTTTGCAGAATATTTACAGGACTACGACTAAGTTGTTTGTGCATAAACCCGCCCTGCCTCGCTGTCGTTTTTTTGTTGTCGACTTATTGCTCAACTCACTTATTACATTCGCTACTTGTCGAGCTGATGCTCAATTGAATTTCACTTCTTCCGTTCCATACTCTCTTGTTGAGCTAACGCTCGATCATTGTTGAATGATTTTCTGTTTTCTGTCTGTCTGTTTTGATGCCTACCTGTCTGATTGTCTGTAGGCACAACGTCGTTTCGGTGCATGCGCTGCTGACTCGGTTCGTGAGGGGAGACTTTTCCGACGGCAAGGCGGACTTCGCATGGACGTTACAGGTGACCAAGCGGGGCCGATACTCACACACGTTGAGAGCTCTTGTGTGTATTTTTTGCAGCGCGTGGTGTTTACGTTCTTTTGGACCAAAAGGAGCCACACTTTCGCACCGGTTGTATTTTTTATATTCTACTGTAAACAGCACTCGCTTTTTGGTTGTGGCCAGTGGCGTTGCTACACACCTGCGTCGAGCTCGGTGCTGCAGCCGTTTCCCTGCTACTTGTACCCGTCCCGAAAGCACGGGGATTTGGTTTTTAACAAGCGGCCAAACTGGGCGATGTTTCTAGATCAGACCCATTAGGACCCGGTAGGCGTCGTTGACGCCCCTCCGTTTCATTCCTTGGTGCAACAATGCACAACACCACAGCAGCTAGACGGTTGACAACCTTTTTTTCTCTCTTGCTGCCCTCGCCTCCCCAAAACACAAATCCAGAGCTCCCGTAACGAAACCAGCTCGCTCGACCCTAACCTGACACCTACATGCATGCGCCGCGGACGCAAAAAACATCCAGGCGTGCGCCGCCTTGGAAGCGATGACGTTCGCGCTGCTGCGGGACCTGCACACCTCTCCACCATCAGCAGCAGCAGCAGCAGCAGCAACCGTCGCTGTCCCCCACGACATCAACAACAAGGATGGCGATGGCGCCGCAAAAAAGTTGCCCCAACGGCAGTGGACCATCGTGGACGACGATGCTGCCGCGGGCGGCGGCGTTGACGAAGGAGGAGGCGTTGGGGCGGGGGGGACGGGAGGCGCGGGGGCCCCGGGGACGGAGTCGGTGGGTGACGACGGCGCAGCTGATACGGCCGGGTCCATCCTCAGCCGGTAAGATTTCAACACATCCCGTTCGACTACTGCTGCTGTGGTTGTGTCTCGAACGGGTAGGTGGGCTTTTCGTGATTGGATGAAAATTTTCAAAACAACGAAGATTTCGTTTGACACTGCTGCCGCGACATCAGCAGCCCGCTGGGGTCTTTTTGGCAGCGTCACCTGGATGTGCTGCCGACACTGGCTCTCGCGTTTTGCGCGTTTTCAGTCTCGTCGAGGGAGGGAGGGAGGTCGGGCCGGATCAGCACTTCTGATAAGCCTCACCCCCCTTTTTTTTTACCCTCTCCTTCTTGCCTTGTTACGCGTGTCGTCTCTCGACATTGTCCCGCATTGTCCCGCAGGTACGAGGCGGAAGGGATGTGGCTGTCAACCCTGCAGACGCTGGGGGCCTTGGCCGGGAGCCATTTCCCTAAGGTGGCCAAGGGGGCGGCCGATGCTTTGGAGCGCCTGGTGCTCGAGGTGAGCTGCTGCTGCAGCTGCCCCTACTGCTTGCGTCGTTTTTTGTCCCTTCTGTCGGTCTGCCTCCAACGGTATATTTTCGTGTACGTGCACGAGCGGTGCGTTCGAGATGTTGGCCCCACGCACGATGGGATTCCTTGAATACCGGAGTGCCCGAATTCTAAGCTTTCCCGACGGTGTGGGGAAATTCGATTTTTTTCGTGGTCGAGGCCACCTTTTTCCTTTTTTGCTGTGACATACGACGGGCAAAATTTTTACACGCCTGATGCCCTGAACCATGGCTGATATGTGGTATCGTGCTGTGAACTCCGTCTCTTGGTCCAATCTCCCTCCCCCCTATGCATACGTACCTCCTCGTCCGCCTCTCCAGTTACACGGAGTCGGTGCGCCCGCTTGGGGCACCGCCTTCAGCGAGGTGTTGCTGCAACTCCCGGTGCCCTTGCTGCCGCCGCACTTCAGGCCGGCGGCGGGAGTCGTGGTCCAGGGCACTTGGAGCGAAGAGGTACTGATTGCATGGCCGGAAGGATCAAGTGTTTTTGGGAGCCCTGTGGTGCATTGCTGTACGACTGACTGTGCTTTTACTATGGCTGTGCTGTGTGTGTTGATGCAGTGAGACACTGCTGTACTGCTGCCGCTACCTTGAACTTATCCCGGCCGCCACCGTAAGCACGTTGACCACAAAATAAATCTGCATTAGCTTTGTCTGCGTTGTTGGCTGCTTCAAACACCCATTCAAGCCGGGTGGTGAGGCAAATATTCCAAGACTCGTCTCGAGCCGTGGATCCCACTTTCTTTTTATTCCCACCCCAGTGCTTCCACCCACTAATTCGCATCCCTTCCAGCGTCCTTGCATATTTTCGACCCCGACGGTTGTCTCTCGCTTGACGCTTGAGGCGCTTCGACGACGACGTTGGCTGACTCTGCTCGTTCGATATCCCACGCGTCCGTCCACCGCAACCGTCCGCTAGGTTTGCATCCGCTGCTGCTCGATCCTCTCTCGAGCCTTCCTTCACCACCTCCAGGCGCTCACGAGCCTGCCGGGGTTCGGCAAGCTGTGGCTCGACACCGTGACCCTCATAAGCCGGAACTTGGAAGCCAATGGTTCCTCCGGGGCAGATGGCGTGGCGGCAGAGAGCTGCCAGCAGATCCTGACGAACTTGGTCATGGTCGTGGCGTACGCGGGGTTGCTGGGCGGCCAGCACGTGTTGGGCGATACAGGTGAGAGCCCGCAGCAGTAAATAGAACTACGACAGAAACCACTTTCTTGCGTGTCGCTCAAGGCATATGCTGTCTAAAAGCTGAGGGGTGGGGCGTTCCGACAACGGAAAAGTTCATGTTTACTATTCCGACATGGCTCTTGCTGCTTTCGGTATGGTACAATGCGCGTCAAATCCCCCCCCCCCCCCCCTCCCCCCCTACATGCCCGCGCTTGCTCCCATCCCTCGCTAGGTCCTGGCGATGCGTCGGGCGGTGGCGGGTCGCGAGGAGGCGACCCCCAGCGTTTGCTCCACGAGACGAGGGAGATCCTGGAGCCTGTTTGCCCCGGCTTGCGACCTCTCTTGAAAGGCTTGGCGGGGACTGGCACCACAACGCCGGAGGCGTTGGACTCACAACCGCCGCCACCACCGCCGGCTGCGGAGCCGCCCGCGGAGCCACCGACCGAAGCGCCTTCAAGTCACGAAGGTCTCGGGGACGGCAGCGACGTAACGACTGCGGCACCTGAGGTTGAGGCACCATCATTCCCCGAGCGCGACGCTGATGCCGGTGGGGCTGACTCGGTGCTGGACTACGGCGGCGATGGGTCTCTGGCCGTGGATGAGGCGCGGGGCGTGGGCGACCCTTGGTCCTCATCACCCGCTAACGACGACGAGCTCCAAGCTGCGGATGGCTTGTTCGAGGACAAGGGGGCGGCGGGGGGCGGCGAGAGGGATGCTGCCGCCGGAGCCCGCGAGGTTTTCGATAGGCCGGTCGTCCAGAGCTCTCCTGCTCCGCCGATCTTGTCTGGGGGAAGGCCGCAGATCGTGTAGTAGATGCGATGTTTTGTGTGTAGCGCTATGCTGTGGTGCTTGTGGTACGCGTGCTCGTCCAGTTGTGTTGTCAGAAATGTGTTCGATAAAGCTCTTGGGGAGTTTGCGTTTATTTGAAGTGTCTTCTTGTGTGTTTGGTTCGTCGGTGGGATCGAAACCCATTTGACACGGGGATATTGTGTAAGTAGCTGGTTGACTGCGCTCAATGATTACTCCGGGCGTCATCGATGATGCCTAGTTTCGTGGAGTTGGTGTGCTGCTGTGCGAATTTGTGTGGGAGAGCGGCTTGCCATTGGGCGTGTCAAATCGTCTTCAATGTTGTCGCTATCGAAAGTGCTGCAGGATTTCTTGATTTGTTTTTGCATCAGCCCTTCCCCCCACACGCGTGAACCCGTCAGTCACAATATGCAAAGGTTGTTGGACCGCCTTTGTGTTGGTTGGCGGTTGTCATTCAGGGAAGAGCCAGGGCTTCTCAGCGGAGGCGATAGGCAGTGCAAATAGACTTGTCGCAAATTGCACCATGGAACTTGGTCTAGTCTATAGAGGTTCAGTTCCGCGGCCTGCGGTCGTCAAATCTTGGAAGTGGAGCCTGAAAAAGAGTCATGTATGCAAACACACGAACCATTCTGAAAGTCAATTTCTTTGTCCTCGAATGGTTGCAGCAGACTTGGAGCAGCAACGGCACCAGCATCCCTTCTTGTACGAAATGTCAACCTTAGGACGTGCTGGTTTTCTCACGCACGGGTGTGGATTTCCATAGTCTTGTTGCACACCCACCGCAGGCTGCAACACAAGAAACGGCGATCGACACCTTTTATTCCATCGACTCGAAATTGTTGCACATCAGGGACCCAATTTGTTTTTCCTCAACGGAATAAATGCGCCATTTCTCTACGGAAAAAACAAGTTTCGGTCACATCCAAGTATATGATCGTTGCCCTCTTGTACTTTTTTTTTTGTCCCAGGCACTAGTCTACGCCTTTCGCGCATATAGTGCGCACCGGCCGGGGTTACACAGGAGGAATTCTCTGTCTTGCCCCCTGCCGTGCTTGCCTTCAACCCTTAACGCGAGAACGAGTCTCTTGCTTCCCTCTCTCTTGTGTGCACATACGACCTATGCGCTCCTCACCTCTAATTCGCGTTTTTTTTTCCCTCCGGAGAGATTCGATCCACAACCTCCGCCGAGACAGACAATGCTACAAACGAGGGTAGCAGCGGAACTGCTCAGCCGCTGGCTGTTGTCTTGACCGAGCTTATACTTTTCACAAAACAAACTGCTGTACGGGCGGTTAAGCTCGTATGCCCTCTACCATGCACTCACGACTCTCAACGACCCGTCGCAAGAACGCCGGTGTAACAACCCCGGTAGGTTCGGTGCACCAAACGTGCCACGAAGTCTCTTTCCACCTTCACAACGATTTTCATGTTTCTCAGAATGAACGGTGAAATTTACAGTCAAACCAGTTCAGCAAACCTCACAAGCCCCCGGTTCTCTCAATACATGCTTCGGTCACGTCGTGCTTTCCTGTCACCATGGACACGCTGGAACTTTTAAAATCTAAATCTATCACCCAGTTACATGCCAGGCAGGAGTCATTCAGGGTCACCCTACGTTTGCTGCCTGTCTGTTATTCGATGACAACAGTGGTCGCAACGGTTCACGGCGTCTTGGAAACGCGACAAATTCGTAGTCTACGAATGATCTAAAACAATTCAGAACGTATGCCGCCCCACCGGCATCTCAGACCAACTGCGGAGACAAGAGACAAAACGTGCCGACCCTCGACTTCTAAAACATTCTCCATCTACAAGCTCGTGGCAAAAAAAAACAGTCTCACGTCAACTTTAGTGGCAGGTTTTGCTGCCGTCGGCTTCCATGAGCGACAGGCCAATTGGCACCGAAAGCCTTCCGATCTACTCTTGTCTCAATCGAGTGCCGATGGAGTAACGGCCTTCGGCGATTGGTAGATTGTGTCGGCTTACTTGACGACTTGCGGCACGCGTGCCCGTACTTCTTGCAAAAGTACGTCGGGTTCCATGATGAAAGGGAAGAAATGCTAATACACCAGTACAAATTAAGGAAGGCATTGGAGGGGGGAGGAGGGAGAGGGGAAATGGGAGTGGACGGGACATGTAGGGGGGGGGGGGGGCGTTGAGAACGTCGTGGAATTTCGCCACAAAGTATCAGTGTAGAAGGACAACATGGAAGGACTAGAGCGGTAGCATAGTTCAATCAGCACGGCACACAACACACGTGCAATATCGGCATCACACTGATCAACCACCGGAATTCTTCTAACGATTCCTAATTCAGAAGACGTAAATCATCACCACCTAGCACTCCACACAAAAAAACAGAAACCACTCGTCCCAACCTCTATCTACTGTACGGACAACACCGTCAAAAACACACGAACAAAATCATAAATACGACAAATCCCTCACAATTTGTCCCTCCGGCTTGGTCTGCGTCTCCTTGAAGTACATGAGGATGGGCAGCTTCTCGCTGGGGTAGACCTCCCAGTTCGTCCACGTGTCGTAGTTCCAACGCGACTCTCCCCCAACAAAGGCGTTCTCGCCCGAGCTCTCCAGCTCGTCCGGCGTCTCGCCTATCTTCACCTCCATCGCCTGACGTGCCGAACACGCCCACGATAAAGGAAGGCAAGAGACCGATTACACGAGAGAGAAGCACACACATACACTTACATACCACCACACAAACGCGGCACGTATGCACCGACCAACGCAGATTGCATCTCACAAACCTCACGGTCTGCCTGGAATAGATTTCCTCGATCGATCGCTTTTGGATGGTCAAGGCTGCTGGCTTCAAAATCCCCATGCTCTGAAAGTCTTTCGTGTGCAAATTCGAAACAATTGTGGAAGAGAGAAAACAGTCTTGGATCGTCCCTTCTCGCCATGAAACCAAGGCCTGCTCAACGGAGGGAACTCGTTTGCGTGGCCCCCGAATGGTGGGTAGGTTCTCCGCAGAGAAGAGAAGACCATAAGCGGCCGCTCTAGACATGGGTAATGGGTGTTGTACCAAACACGATAAAGTCGGAAAAGTCAAAGTCGCTGGGGCCAAGTGAAACGCCCACGACGGTTTGTCTTAGCCTGATGCTGGCCTCTAGCGAGAAGGGGTGGTGGTCCTGCCGTACGCAGAAAGAGCACGGGTTGTTAGCGTTTGTAGGGCTTCCAAGGCCGCGACGTTCCCCAACACTATCGCTGCTGCAGCACCATTAGCCCTTTCTAAATGTTGTCACACCACAGACGGCCCGCTGCCGACCATCCTGCGGACACATAACACACAAGCAATTGTTCCTTCAATTGCGTCGGGAGTATAAACCAACGGCGCAAACAAATCACACCAGGTTACACCCCGCCCGAACAATATCCCACCCTCCTCCCATCATCTGCTGCTGCACGCACCACATCATCAAACTCGAACTTGACCCTCGTCGCCTGGAAGGCAAGCAACAGCCCCACGACGCTGACGGGGAATCCCGCCCCGACGTTGCCGAGCCCCGTGATGGCCAGCCCGAACGCGGCGATGCCTATGGGGAGCTTGAAGTCCGAGGGGACGACTACCGTGGACATGCCCAGGTCGCCGCTCCTCCTCCTCCTCTCCGCGGTTGCCACGCATCGGCTGCAGAGAGATTGTCAGCGACGAAAAAGTGCGTGAAGGTAGAACAGCGCTTGCGAACATTAGAAATACCACACCCGGCTGTCCACCCCGCGATAACGTTCCGAGGCACAAAAATCAAACTGCTGTCCCCCGGTGTGTCTACGATAGACTTCGAATGTAATACGTCGGCGTTTGGGGGGAGGTGATAAGTATGTTGATAAAAGTCACTTCAGTGGGACTTGACATCATAGGTCAGTGAAACGGTGGAAGACAGCTCGCCTGTAGTTCTAATGTGATTGCAACACGAGATGCTGCAAAGCGCAGGCTCAACAAACAACGGGCGCTTGCTGCTTGTAAAAATAGCTACCGTAAAAAAATGTCGAAATCATGGAACCACGAGAACAGATTGCCCGCAAAGAGGTTTGGAGAGAGCGCCCACTCGTGGCAAGCCTCTCCAACCCTAACGAGGAAGCACGGCGGTCGAACAACAGTAGACTACCATGCAGCTGAGAGCGACTCAGCTGGCCGCGGCCAAGGCCGTTCCCCCCAGGGAAAGCAGTAAAAGAGTTCGTATGCTGCGATACGAGCTCGGCCATTGGGGCCCTCCCGACTCTTGCCCTGGCGCGGGTGTGCACCAGCGAGGGCGCATCGTTGGAAGGCAAGGACAAGACCGGGCCGTTCACCATGACTCTACCCCTGGTACTTGCGCCCGGTGTTCCCCGCTACTATGTTCGCCAGGAAGGCGTCAAGGTCCGGGTGTCCTTTGTGGGCTTGC